CTTGATTCCTCCTTTTGCAGTGGCTTTCTAAGATTCAGAAATGGTGTTTTGCCATACTGCTCTGTTAAGCCATCATTTCAGGGGTGAAATGCTACCAGTTTGGGCCGGTTCACCTAAACCGGTAGTAAAAAATGCTACCATTCGCCTGAACGGGTAGTAAAAAAATGCTTAAGAAAGTAAAAAAAAAGTTCCAACAATCAGCTGTGCTGCGTGATGGTAGGAACTTTTAGAAACTTTTTAGCATTTGGGCTCTTTTTTTGTTCCCCGGAGGCTTCCCTGAGGTCTGCTGGGCCAAAAATGGGGGGGGGGGGCTAAGAAAGGAAGGAAGGAAGGAAGAAAGAAAGAAAGGAAGAAAGAAAGAAAGAAAGAAANGGGGGCAATATGCTGACTCTGTAAACCGCTTAGAGAGGGCTGAAAGCCCTATGAAGCGGTATATAAGTCTAACTGCTATTGCTATTGCTAATAGGGAGAGGAGAAAATATTTCTTTTTTCAATGCAACATGGGCAAGTTATTTTTAAGTAATTGAGATGTGAATTCCTCAGCTGCCTTCGAATATTACATACTCCAATAATAGACACACCCCTATTATATGCTCATGTAGGCAGTTACAACACGAATGTTTAACATTGTAGAGAACATTGGGCCAAGTTGTTCAATCTGATGGAAAGAAAATTTAGTATCTTTCCAAAAGACAAGGGAATGCCAGCAAAACTCTCACGGGTACACTGTGCTTATAATTAGCATGTGACCAGATGGCTAAGAAGTGAGTGCAATGCGGCTGTGCATGTGTGAATGGTTTTTTTCCCTTCCATAATACAGTCCTCTAGATGTTTGCAGTCTTCCAGATGTACTCAAGTGCAAAGTCTCTTCCAAGTACAATTCAACTGCTGATGACTTAATGTATACATCCATAAAGTTCTCTTGACCACCTTTCCAAAGTGGATGGATACTGCCTTCAAAAGTCTTCTTTCTGTTAGTGTTCTGACTCAGCTTCCCAAACACGACAAATCCTCTGGAGATAACTCAATGATTCCTTTATTAGGAGTGCCAGCAGCCCTGCAAAAAGTCTCTATTTCAATGCAGGCTAATGAATCTGTTTGGCAGGGGAGATGAATAGTTGTCTGCCACATCTATTCATCTCCGCCCCCTGCCTTTTATCCCCAGAACTAGGGTGCTGCTTCTCCAACATCAGTGGCTCTTCCATCCTAAGGATCAGCCCATAGATTTCCACTGCTCTCCTCTCCTCTGCCTTCTGTGCATCCGTGCGTCAGGCACTGGATCCAGCTGTTTCTCCTCTTCCTCATTAGCCACCTCCAGACCTGGGGACTGTTGACTCTCCATCTGAGGGCTGACAAACAGCCCAGGCTTTGCCACCCCCTCTCCCTCCCTCCATCCCTCTCTGACAGTTCCATTCCCTCTTCCCCCTTGGAGCTCTCAGGTTGCCTTGATGCTGACTCTCACGCCTCCTTTTTCTCCTCTGATTCAGCTGCTGGGGGGTGGGGTGGGGCAGGGTGGCTGACCTAGGATCATTTGTCCTTCTTATGACCATTGCCCCAACGCCAGAGTCAGGTGATCAAAATTGAGACACTTGGCAACTGATTCATATTTATGATGGTTGCAGTGTCCCGGGGTGACGTGATCCCCTTTTGCGACCTTCTGACAAGCAAAGTCAACGGAGAAACCAGATTCACTTAACAACCATGTTCCTCTTTTAACAACGGCAGTTATTCACTTAACAAATGTGGCCAGAAAAGTTGTAAAATGGGGCAAAACTCACTCAACTAATATCTCACGTAGTGTGGTCATAAATAGAGGACTACCTGTACTTCTTAAGGAATCAACAAAGATAAATTTCTTTCAGCAAGGACAAATTTAAATTAGGTGGAAAATTAGAAGCATGTTTCTGGCTTTCTCAGGACTGTAATTTTGTCAAGTTGATGCAATGGTGGTAAGATTCGTGTAGGAGGTTCATTTATTTATATTACATGTATGTC